CTGGGGTGGTAGTCTTGTACTTCCTACAGGTGATTGATTCAAAAATGCTTGAATCAAGGGTAGGTTTGCAACCCAGTTATGCTGATTTTCTTCCACCACTAATTTATTGATTTCCTTCCTCACTTCTCTATTTCTTCGTTCAACTAGTCCATTGCTCTGGCTTCTATAAGCTGTTGTTTGGATTTTCTCAATACCTAATACCTCCATAAACTCTTTAAAAGCTTTACCAACAAAGTTTCTTCCTTGATCTGTCAACATTTGTTTTGGAATTCCAAAAATGGGAAAAAATCTGTTGAAAAGAAGATTTGCAATTTCTTTACTGGTTTGCTGTTTGAGTGCATATAAAACTGTGTATCTACTGAAATGATCCACTATCACAAGTATGAATCTGTATGATTTAACCATGGGTAAGGGTCCCATTATATCCATGGCCACCAACTCCATTGGTGATGCAGGGTGAAAGGTTTCTACCAAAGGGTATACTCTACTCCTACCATTCATTTGTTCACACAAAGTGCAATCCTTTATTGAATTCTCAATCATAATCTTTAATTTTGGGTGCCAAAAGGTCTTTTTAATTATTTGTAATGTCATTCTGGGTCCATGGTGATTGTGAATTTTATTTTTATGGAATTTAGGGAGCAGAGTTAGCATCACATGGTCAGGTAAAACCAGAATGTTTCTTTTTTCAAGGATAATCCAGATCATTTCCTTATGAACAAACATCTCCATTATGAAAGGTGTAAAAGTTCCAAAATAAGGAATAGGTAGCTGACCATCCAGTGTTAAATATTCTTTAATTGATTTCAAATTCACATCTTTTTCTTGCTCTGACTGTAAGTCAACAGAAGACAAATCAATTTTCTCTTTACTGTTATCACTGGTAGCTACAAAAGTTAACTCTGGTGTATGTTCATACTGTTCCATTTTAACTGAAATAGAGGGAGAATTCTCCTCTTTGATTCTTCCATGAATTAGCTCTTCAAATGTTACTTTCCTTGGGGGTGTATATTCTTCTAATCTTGTTAATGCATCTGCTCTATTTTTTCATCCTGTCACATAGTTAATTGTAAATTTTAAATCCATTAAAGCCATGACCCATTTTGCTGTGCTGACATTCAATTTGTTTTGCTTAAATGTTTGTACTAGACTCTGATAGACTCTGATGTCAGTATATAAAAAGAATGGCTTGTCTTGAAG